TCCAACTATGCCCACCAACAAAGCCTATTCTTTATTTGACGAAGAAGTATGGTTAGAGCAATGAGCCCAATTGTTGGAATCAACTTTAGTGTTTGGGTTTATGCAAATCTCATAAAACTCAAGCGAAACTAAGGCACCCGAATTATCTAAGGTTAATGGATCCTAATTACTACATAGCATCCATTTTCGACGTACTAATCTTATTAGGCATAATACATTAACATGCACTCAAACTTGGACTCAAACTTGGACTCAACTAGCAAGTAAGTACTCCAACTTTGAGTATGCACATCTAGACACCTCAACTCTCTCCATTGTGATTTATGTCAGTTGAATACTCCAACTCACAAAATGATCATCTAGACACTTACAAAATTTATGTGATGCGTTAGCGTCAAGTGTCCACGAGTTGGGGGCGAGTTGGAGTGTTTAGTTTTCAGTTGACACCAAGTTGAGGTGTCTAGATGTGCAATCTCAAAGTTTGAGTGTTTGTTTATGTATTATACCATCTTATTCTGAAGCAATATTTGATTAAAGCAAGATTCGCGGAGCCATTTGTCTGCAATAGTTGTTTTTTGGTAGGTTGAACATGAGACGGAAGAGGTTTATGCGGAGATCAGATTATTGCCAAATCAAGATGTAAGAACTCAATTTACTTTATTTTTGAAGATTTTCCAGGATAACACTCTTGTTTACAGCCAAGACTACCACTCCTTGCAGCAAAATGAGCCAACAGCTCCGGATTTTAGTCCTCTAGACACTCCAAGGCCCCAGTTTCAGTCGTTTTGCAAGTGTTTAACTCAATCTGATATAAAAAGCAATTGGGGACTGTTTGTTCCCCTGAAAGATGCTGTCAAATGCTTTCCTCCCTTGGTAATGCACTAATTAATTGTATCTGTTTCTCAAATTTTTCCTTCCTTTTTTTTTTTTTGCGTGTATGAATTCTGATTCGGATAATTTTTTCCTTGAGTTGAGGGTCTAGCGGAAACAACCTCTCTACCTCTGAGGTAGGGGTAAGGTCTACATACACTCTACCCTCCCCAGACCCCAGAAAGTGGGGGGACTACACTGGGTATGTTGTTGTTGTGTGTGTGAATTCATATAGCCGTCCCCAACTTGCCTGGGATTGTGGCAGAGTTACTATTGTATTTCTTTTATGTGTAAATATTTAAGGTATTTGGTTGACTGGATTTTGATTTTTGGGATTGGTTTCTTCAATGATCAGGACATGCGACAAGAAAAACCAAGCCAAGAACTGATAGCAACGGATCTTCAAGGAAATGAATGGCGCTTTAAACATGCATACCAAGGCAATCCCTCCTCTCCTATGTTAAGATTGAATATCGACCAAATGAATTATTGTTTTGTTATTCAACTTGACAAATGACAAAGAATGAAACTAAAATTATACCTGCTATGGTAGGATTTTGAGTTTATGGCTCATTGTCAAAAATGAAGACGACCGTTGTTGTACTTTTTAGACTAAGAAGTTTCTATTCTTTGATTTTTATACCAAGAAGAACACTAAAATTAGGTGAATGAGCTATATCTATATCTTGATGTTCTATTCTTTTTCTCTCCGTTTTTTTTTAATCTTAACTACACTGAGTAGGCCAACCACGGAGGCATTCGCTCACAAATGGCTGGAGTACATTCGTTACTAGTAAGAAATTGCTTGCCGGGGATTTAGTTGTGTTCTTAAGGTACTTTTCCTATGGCATGCTTTTGGCCTTACTGTTGAGCTACATCTCCTGCAATTATGTATCTTGGAGAATTTTTATCTTTTCATACCTCATTTGATTTATTTCCTTTGATTTTGCTTCAAGGGATGAAACTGGCAAACTACATGTTGGGATTAGACGTTTATCTTATCAACGTTGTTCTATTGGAGCATCAACATTTTCAAGACAAAGCGTGGAAGGTGCTCTTGCCGTTGCTTCTCATGCCTTTGCCACCCGAAGTCTCTTTTCTGTTTACCACAAGCCATGTTATAATAAGTATGACTTTTGAACTAAAATGAAGTCTGCAATGAGAACTTCACTCATATTTTTACATGAATATGTTTTTGGTTGAATGTTACAGATCAAGTCAATTTATTATGAGCTTGAGCAAGTATTTTGAAGGTGGAAACCATGGCCGTGGAGTTGGCATGATATCTCGAATGCAACATGAGGGTGAGGACTCCTCTCATGTGAGAAGGTAATGGACCGATGAGTTCCTAACTATATATATACAAATCTTTCGCAGAAAGAATTGCAATACATTAATTTACTATTTTGATATGCAGAACAAATGATCTGGACCAGATATCTTTATCTCAGGGTCAACAGACAACAAATCTTATGCTCGAGGAGGATCAGTACATGCAAGACTCGGAAGCAGTACTCGATTGTGCTCAATCTACTATGACAGATTTGGAGATCAGGCAGCAGACAACTGGATCGCATAATAATGTCCATTGTTTTTCCCCTGTAGAGGACAATGGACTGCAATTGCATACAGCAGTTGCGAGGGAGAATAATGAGGGATCTATTCCAAATGACACTGTAAGCATCCAAACTAGAGATGAGGACTTGTATGAGCTATTCGAGGATTTTGACTTTCCAGACTCTATAAACACTAGTCTCGATACTATAGCTTTGGATTTGGGCAGTGATTGGTTCAGATCGACGCTACAAGGTAAATAGTTACTTCCTCCATTTCAATTTATGTGTTTTACTTTCCTTTTTAGTCAGTTTAGAAAAAGACTACCACTTCTCTATATCTATTGAGTTTGCAATTCCACCATTGATGACATTCACTTATAGGAATGGCATGACATGTAAAAGTTCAAGATTCAAAGAGTACTTTTGGTATATTATACATACCGTTTGTTGAAACCCATAAGATCCATAAGTTCTCTTCACATTGTTAAACTTCATCTCCACTCAAACTATAATACATAAGAAGGGTGTATATCATAAAATGACTATACCATGAAGAATATTAACTCTAAGTTGTAATATTTTGGTCTGTCCATATGCACGAGTCACGATTCACCAATCTGGATAGTTTTACAAGGCTGCTGTTCCATTATTGAATAAAAGCCTGGCTGTAACTAGTTTATTTATGCTCCTTTATCTGAATTTGTCATTTTAAGAAAGCTAAAGCTTGTCCTTGTTGATTTCGGGGAATGTCTTGAAGAGCAAGAAGAGACTATTACTCCCAGTCACCCAAATGCCTCAGAAGATCACTCTAGACGGACTTCTTCTGTATTGGAGCATCCAACTTCCTTCCAAGTGATGTCTATCTCTACAAACCCGAGTCAGATTCCCTACGAAGGACCTGGTCGTGGTGACGAGCAAGTTCCTTGGGGAGGCTATCAAGTAGCACGACGAACTTTACCAATACTCAGTAGGGTTGTCTCGCGGTACCCTGATTCACTCGTGAACTTCAGGGTTGCAAGTAGCATACTTCAGTCGGTGTATTTGGAAATATTGGCAGAGTTAGTCTACTTTCTCAATAATCTTACGATAGTGAACTTGTCAAAGGATCAGTTCAATGTTGCTAGGCAACATATCTGGGACCTAAAGTTAAGTGGCATTGAAATAGGCTGGCTTGAAAATCGTTTACTGCATATAGATGAAGTATTTATCATGGAAAGTTTACGGCAAAGGCGACAAGCACTCACACGTAGAATGGAGGAGACATTTAAGCAGCTGGATGGGGAACTTGGATGTATAGACAAGGAGCTTCATGAACTATCTCTAAAGGTTGGCCCTAATCCCCCTATGAGATTGCACTCTGTCTTGGAGGGTTTGTTGTAGTTTTCAGTGATGTTATCCTTTCTATTTGACTACATGATAAAGAGAAAAAGCCGGACATAGTCCATTATCTTTGGACGGAGGCTCAAAATGATCGTATTTCTTTCACATGAAACACTAATAGTTCACATTCTTTGATGAAAAAGTGGCAAGTGTACCAATTTGTCAGAAAATGACGACTATTAATGCTCCAAGCAAGAGAGATGATCATTTTGATCTTAAGTTCAAAGAATATGGACTATTTTGGTTTTTTTCTATCATGATCGGATCTCTTACAATCAGAGGTGGAGTCGAGATTTTTAGTTTATGGATTCTGGACCACATATTAAATGATATGATTAACACAAATATAAAGTTTGGGACAAAGTTGATTTATTCTTCCAAACCCATAATAAGCACTTCGACTCTGTTCCCTGCTTACAGTTTAGAATAAGCTCTATGAAAGTGTTTTTTAGTTGACACTTGAATTTGTGATACTGTTGTGTTTTCTTGTTTTCATTTTTAATCAACAAGGTGAAAAGTTGGATAGCCAACCAACTGAACTACTAAAATTCCTCTATTGTTTGTGTTTTATTGCAAGTTCTTGACTTGTTATATTCATAACTATTTTTGGCTGTTCAAATGGTTCAATCTACAAGGTCTAGAGTCTTATAAAATTTTAGACATTGCTTTATAAATTCTAATTGGGCCGGACCTATGTGCTATAACGTTGGGCTGAATTCAACTATGCGGCCCAGAAAACCATCTTATTGGTTTGCGTATTCTTTCTTTCAAAGCACGAATGTCATATCATAATATAACACAAATTGTACTTAGTTCTCACCTAACTTACACCGATAGGGACATAAATTCAATTTTAGAACGTTATACCTTAAAAAGTTCATAATCCACATACTATGCCTTGTAAGACATAACCTAGTTCTTACATAACTTTTGTTAATAGAGACAAGTTCAATTTCAGTACCCACAAAATTATGCCTTAAGAGGCGTACCTTATTCTTACAAAGCTTTTGTGGGACAAACAGAAGGTCTCTAAATGTATGCCTCTAAAACACAACTTATGTCGAATCTAAACTTCTACCTTGCTAAATTTAAATCATAGTTAAGTGTACTTTTAACTCACAATTTTTCTTTAAATATGCGAGAAGGGCAAAAATTAAAGACTAAACAATGTTTGAATTATATATAATCTCCACATAACTATAATTGGACCCAACGATCCCTATCCGTACTTAATTATAACAAAAGGAGAGAAATGTCACGATACAAATGTATCCACACTGAACATTTACACCAAATAAAAAATACAGAACATGTGTATACATACACACATTTATCTCTCAATCATGATTACGCATTGAATATTTAGATTTCATAGATACATTACTTGATTCGATATACACTCTATACGAATACATATTTATCAAAAAGGCAATCACCACAATGCTTGTCCTATGGCAGGCAAAAAGTTCCCACCAAGATTCATCAAATCCCTTCTTGTTTTCTCCCTTTTTTTTTCTTCTCATTATAAACAATTGAGTGTCCTTTTCACTTCAATCCATGAAAATTTCCCAAAGGAACCCACTAGCTTTCCCATTTAACTCTTCCAAAAAGTAAAGGTTACTTACTATTTTATCATCTTTACTTTTTTATTTATTTTTACACCAACCCTAATTTTGAAAGCAACTTTCCTGCATGAAGAGGAGATAAAAATAGTTAGGGGCAAATTCAAGTTTTTGAGTTTATGAATTTCTATAATAATTTTAAAATAATACTCCCTCCGTTTCAAAAAGAGTGATCTAGTTTGACTTGACACGGAGTTTAAGAAAATAAAGAAGACTTTTGAATCTTGTGGTCTTAAATTAAAGTTATGTCAAGTGTACAAAATTGTCCTTTAATCTTGTGGTTTTAAACATGCCACGTGGAAAACAGAAAGTAAAATGTTACCAAAAAAGGAAAGAGGTCATTCTTTTTGAAACAAACTAAAAAGGAAAGGATGTCATTCTTTTTGAAACGGAGGGAGTATATAATAATAGCTGGATCAACATATTGAATTTCGAGCAAAATATTCTAATACATTATAATTTGGACAAAAGTTATTAAGCTCATGTGAAGTCGTGAATCCATAATGATTGCACTAAATCTGCCCCTTGTAAATATGCTGAAGTATATATATCAGGTGAATATAGTAAAGGGTTGGTTTGTAAAACATGTGAGATGCAAAATTTAGGCATATCATTGACTGAAATTATTAGTGTGCATGGAATGAAGAATATTGTTTTGACAAAAAGAAAATATTTTTCTGAAAAATGAGTATTTGAACAATAGGTGGAGGTAAGGTGAGTTAGGGTGGGTGCAAGGTGCTTTAAACTATGATTTCAACTAGTATAAATAAAGCCATCCACCAACTATGTTGTTCGGACTCTGTAAAAATATTATTACAATTGAATCGAATCATGTAAAAAAGCATTATTTTTGAAAGATTCGACACACCTAACAATATTTTCGAAAAGTCTGAGCAACATAGCTCACCAATAATTTGATACAAACCAGCATCAGTATAATTTCCTCTTAAACATAATAGCCTGCTTTCTCTTCTTTTTAAGATGATAACTATTCTTTTGACCCATTCTTTCTTCCCTGTTGAATTTCATCAGAAATAATTCAAAACTCTGTAGGCAAGGTACTATAAACATTACAAGTAGGATTAAAGGGTTTGCACATCACTATCTGCCAAATAGTTTTCTTACTTTATTGGCCCTACTTTAATAATTGTGTCTAAATCATAAATAGGTTGACAAGTTTCTTTTTTAATAAGATGATGTTCAATCCAAGATTCTTTTTTATTATGATAGTGTTCGGATCAATTTATGGGCATCTTAACGTATTATTCGGGTATTTACTATCTCCCACATGTACACAGATACCAAGAGAATTTGTCTTCTCATTGCAAGTTTTTGTGCTATTTACTCTTTTAAATTCCATCTTATATTAGCCAAAATTTGGATAATATCTTTTGTTAAGTTGGAGATGCATTGTCCTTCGATTTCTGTTACTGTGTGTTAATTCTTTGTACTTCGATTAATGTATTATTTTATTCAATTACTATTTGTTATTAGTTGTTGTTTCTTATACTTCCGTCACTTCTTTCATTAGACTATTTTTATTGAGCCAAGGGTCTATTGGGAACCTCTCTACCTCTGAGGTAGGAGTAAAATTTGCGTATATTCTACCCTCTTTCGATCCACTTTGTGGGATTATATCAAATATATTATTGTTATTGTTAAGTTGGAGATGAGAAGAAAAAAGTGTAAACATGAAAGGACGATAGGTAGGACCTACAAACAAAAATAAACAATCAACGTAAAAAGAACAGAGAAATAAGTAGATGAAATTCTGATATTAATATATATTCAAATGTAACTTTCAACTCTAAAAGTAAAAGTGACACCATGAGAGACACAGCCAGAGTAAAATAAGGTGCTTTTTCAAACAGTTCTTTTCTTCTATTAATACATGTTGTTATTTGCTTTGGTTATCATAATATTGTGGGGTTAATAATTTTGATGGTCACTCAATTATTAATTCTTTTCATAGAAAATCACTCAACTTTCATTTTCAAGTCAGAAGTCATTCAACTATGACTTCTTTGTAAAGAAAGTCAATCAATCTATTTAATTATTTTTTTCATTAAAATTTGTTGACATGGAATTTTAATTTTTAACCAAAATTTTAAGAACCAAATATATATCTATTTAAATCATTTAATGACCCACCCCATTTAACCCAACCCGCTAAAAATATAGTATTAAACTTTTTATTTTACCATTAATTCCCTAAATCATTCTCCCTTGTCTCCCCCATTCTTTCCCTCTACGTTCTTCGAGTGGGGAACCTCCCGCAGGTTTTTGGAATTCGACATCAGGAAGTGTTTTCACACCATCGACCGACATCAACTCTTCCCAATCTTTTCTCTTTTTTTTTTTGTAATGATTTTATTATTATTTGCTGTGTCTGCTTTGGGCCTATATACTTTTTAAAATTGCTTTGTTAGAAGTTATTGAACTGATCTTTTGGAAACAACGGTCTGGTACACTACCTTACCCAAATCCCACCTGGTGAAATTACATTGGATTGTTGATGTTACTGACACGATTAATTTAGATTTGTGATGCATAGGACCCATTAAAGACATCGGACTAAAAATAAAGAGATTTATCCGTTCAAAATTATCTTTTGGTGGTACTTTTTTTAATGGTCAACCACAACATGATTCATGAAACAGGGAGAGCTAGCTGTCCCTTTTCTTCAAATCTTTCTCGACTATGGACAGTAACAATGCAGCAACTTTTATACTATACACCCTCCTCCCCCAATACACAATTGAAGTTTATGATAGGTTTTAAATTTGTCACCAAATTTTTAGCTCGTTTTAGTTACAAAATTCACAATTAAATATTTATACAGATTTTATGATTTTCTTAATATTTATATAGTAAGCAAAATTGCTAGGCTACCTAATATTATAGCTCTACCCCCGATGACAAGTAAATGCCTATAGTAAATAGTAAACCAAAAATTAAAATAGATAATCTGCTAAAACATGCAAAAATACACTAATGTTATATGAAAATTACAATGTTAAGTTAAATCCATTCCACAAGGTCCCCTGCCAATTCTTTTGTTTCACTGTAAAATAATCACTCAGTCCCGCCTACCCCACGAATTCTTCAAATTTGTCAACATGTGCATACCTAAACAGAAATATCATTCAATTCAACGATCCTAATTTTTTTTTTTATTAAAATGCAAGGTTCCATCATTGACTAACAAATGAAAAAATTTACGGAAAGTTGCAATCCTTACCATGAAACCTTCAAAAGTAATGCATTTTGAAGGATCCGACACGAATATGACACGTAGCAAAAAACCAAAAATATTGTGGGGTTTGAATATCAATAGAAGATGATTAATTAAAATGTCATCTTAATCCAAGAACCAAAAAGTGTCGGTAGACTATAATATGGAAGAGTCTCTTCTCATAAACTACTATTACACCCACCACCAAGTGATTTGATGTTTTAAAACAAAAAGGAAATGACAAGACTGAGCTCACGGATGCACAGAAACAACACCTAAACCTTCTTGTGATTTCTGTTCACAAAACTTCAATTATTGCTAAGAAAAAAATAATGTTTTTGGTTCATATGATCATAATGTTCCAATAATGAGCATTATGGGTCCTAGTTGACATCATCAGCAAACTTAGATAAGACATGCAAAAGAGACGGATTTAGGTTTTGAACTTTATAGATTTTGGATTCTAGGATAACAATCATAAGTGTTAGTGATTGGGTTCGGAATTTAATTTTGGTATACGTTAAGTGATTTTTTAACACGTACAAGATTTGGACCAAAACTATTGACTTCTGTCAAACTTGTATGTTCAAACCTATATCCGCTCTGACAAAACCAAGTCTTCTCGTGGCTGAAGAAGATCCAAGGGATCGGTCTGAAGATCAAAAGAGCCTCAAATCAACTTGAATTGACCAAGATTAACAAACAAAATGATTGCTTGGCCCATATTAGCTCTCTGATCGAATCGGAGAAGGCACGACTAGTTGGGAGATTGTAGAACCATAACTTGGGTGAACTTCCATCACCATGGAGATGATTGAAATTAGAGTTAACCGCTTCGCCAGCAAAGTGCATCTTAATACAAGATTAAAAAAGGGGGCCAGGGCGAATTTATGGGGCATGAGGATTTGAACATGCTTGGAAACAAACAAAGGCGGATTTAGAATTTTAAAATCACTACATCCACTATATTGGAGTATGAGCCCACCCCTCTACCCTTTTTCCAACTTGAAATCAAGGTTTGTCCGGTAGGGTTCAAACTCAATGTCAGAAGGAGCGGATCTACAATACATGTTATGGGATCAGTAGAACCCCACTTAATAGATATAAATAATCTTATCTTGTATCCAATAACCTAAACTTAAAATCTTGAAGTCGCCTCTGCTTGATGTATGCGTACACGTCATGTGTTGCGTCCTTATCGCTAAACCAAAACCCTTCAGCCAGTACTTCTTTGTCGAAATGGAAGCGACTCATATAAATATGTATATTTATATAAAATTTTACTACAATTCATATAGTACAAGTTGATGGCAGTGGACAAATCATACAAAATGGGAAAGATGGGATAGAAAGAAAACTTACCAAATCTTTCTTTTTTGATCTTTTCATTTATTTTTCTTGATTTGTGAGATGTTGCTTAAATGCAACAGTGGGAGCTATCCTGCAACTCCTCCTCTGATGCTCTTGTACAAGTTCCCCAGCAAACCAATCAAGTTTCTGGAAATTGCTTTGTTCTGCAATTTTCCTACCACCAAATAGCAGGGATTCTACATTTTTCTGTTTCAGCATTTCATCTGCAATTCCCACAAGCTTTTTCACATTGTTAGGACTTGGATCAGCATCTATGTTCACCCCACAACGACCGAAGCTCGATCCATTAGCCTGCATTTGAGATGAAGAGCTTAACTTTTATATACCGACTGCGTAAAGAAACTATTTACTATTAAATTGTCTAAACGATAACAAATAAATGTTCATAAAGAAGTGAGATTAGTAATCTGACATCAAGTTATAAGTTAAATTTCAAGGAATATAGAGGAATTGTTGAAGTTTAGAGGGAGCATTAATCATCTACTGTAGTAAGAAATCATACAGAGAAACTTGTATGGTGACAAGTTATTCTACTTTGCATGTTAATATAAACTTAGTAAACAAAAAGCTATGGTTTCTCTTTTTTATTTTTCATGCGGCATCTGGTACTCGTATTTAGGTCCAACAAATCCTTATTTGTGACGATTAAGGCTCATTGAAGGAGAAGCGTTCCCTACCAGAATTTTTTCCCAACCAAAGCTCAAAATTAAAATTCCAATTAAAATAAATAGAATCTATCCGTCCCACTACAACCTTAGTCAAATGGTTAGCAAAGTACAAAAAACATATATTCCATATTTGAATTTGTTTAAGTTATCCCATTATTCTTCTGAATCATCCTCCACTAGAGATTATTATATGTCTTCAAGTCAATTATCATACCTTTATGCATATAATATTCTCTAGTGGATATCCCATTGGTCAATCTCCTACCTCACAAAGTAACCAAGAGTACTTTTTTACATCCACTACACAATATATATTATTATATTTATATATAGTTAACTTGTAAGAATCATTATCTTTTAAAGTCTTCCTTAATAAGTAATCTGTAAATGGTAAAAAACCCACGCTGAATAGCAATAAATCAACAGTCTCAAGGATAAGAAAATGGTGGAAGAAGCTCCTTCAAATATGAGATTTGTAATAATAAAGCATATCAATTACTATAGCAGGTAAAAGTGACTCGAGCGATATAGAAATTTCTTAAACTCTAAAGTCTATCCTACAACCCCTTGCTTTCGCTGGGTTTCGAACTTAAGATCTCCAACATGAAAGTTCCAAGCCCAAATCACTAGGCCACCCCGAAGGGTCTAAAGTCTATCCTTCTATAGACCACAATGTAAATTTTTACACTATCAAATAACCTAAAAGATAATTATAGGTATCTATTCATAAAAACTAATAAATGGATTAATCATCGGAAAATAAGATAAGTCACATACTACAAGTTTAAAAATATATCAATAGCGTGAAAATACTTAAAAAAAATACTTTAAATTGTCAATATATATGAGTCAAATATGACTAATTAAATTTTGCTAGATTATTTTTGTCCATTATTTTTTCATGTTTTTGATGAATAATGTTGTCTGATATCTATGATGGTGAAAATAGCAAATAACTTTGAGATTAATCGAGGTACGGTAACACCACATTTTTAAAAGAAGAACTGTTAGATGATGATGAGTGGTCATCATGCCCAGCTAAATATGGTAAACCACAGCTGTGAACATTTAATGTACTAAATTGGCAGAGAGTGTCACATTGATGATTCTGCAACTGGCTACCATCAGATATTATCCACTTCTGCCAGTTAGACATCAGAAAAGGACTGCTCTTTATTATATTCCCAGGTGGGAAAAATTCAATCTTTTATCATTATTACTACTACTACTATTATCTACTTTATTAACATTCACATTTTCCTATTTTCAATCAAGATATCAGTCTATCCCCTTTATCCAGTTGTTTGGCAATGACAACATTGTTTCTAGTAGAGACACATTCATTACAAAAATTCCCTTAGTTGGTAGTGACAACTATGATTTTTCTAATTATGTATAAAGATTCAAGAATTAAAGTCATAAAGTGTATGTATACATTAGGTTGACTCAGAAATAATTCAAAATATTAACGTATGAAAAATTAGACTTAAACGTGTAGTTTCTCTGCTTCTACGAAATAAGGGTAAGATTTGCATATATTTTACGCTCCCCAAATTACACTTGTGAAATTTAATATGTTGTTGAATTCGAAATTTCTAACTCTATGGTTCATTCATTTCTTTAGATTTCAAACATATTGTTTGTACTTATCTAGTTTGTTTTTAACACATATATAGTTTATGAGCCAAAACCTACTCGTTATACTATAAATTCATCCGATAGACATGAGAAATCACCTAACTTTACTTTATTAAATTAAAATTCGAACAATATATCTACCTAACTATGTCACATATTAGATGATTTAGATAAACTTCTATAATCTGCGTAATATATAGTTTATTTTAATTTGTGCCTACTAATTTTTGTAACGGTTGTATAAATATCGAGTGCTGATAAGTATATTTACCTGAATGCGGACGTAGTTACTACTCCGACATTGCCCAAACGCCATGGCGACGGAGTGATCAACCATATCAGCGGCTCCGTCGCCGGAGATTCGGGCCATTGGCTTAGCCCAGTCCTTAGCCTTCCACTTTTTGACATGTTCATATTGGAAGCTTCCTTCTAGAAGCTGCCCTGTTCCAAGTGAAAGGACCAAAATGTCCTCAACACCTCTAACAAAAGGAAATTCCTGTTTGTTATGAAGAACGTGAGTAATCGCGGCGGCCGTCGGGTTGCTCATAGCTAAACCGCCGTCAACCGCCACGCACCCGGTTTTTCCATCGACGGATTTCATACAAACCGGTTCGAAGAGTCCCGGTTCAGCTGATGTAGCTCGGCAAACTTCCCATAACCGGAAATCAAAGCTTTCCGATTCGAATGCATCAGCTCGGGAGAACAAAAACGGCGCCGTACTTGAAAGGTCATAACAGGGGATTAAAACCGGTTTAAGAGTATCCTTTAACGTAAGGCTTCGACCGGTTTTTTTATCCATAAATGCTTCTTTCATCACTTTCTCTAAACCGGAAGTATCTGAACGGGTTGCGCCACCTCGGAAAACTCGCCGGAGAAAACCATTTCCGGCAGAACTTGACCCTTTTGAAGGATAAATTCTTCTACCTTGTTCCTCTAAAAGCTTCCATGTATCTTCAGCTTGGAAAACAGGACGGTTTTGATCCTTCGTTGAAAATAACATCGCCGTGAAAATTCCTCCGACGCCGGAACCAACAGCAACGTCGAAATAATCGGCGATTCTAGCTTCTGGATTCCCCGATTTAACCTTTAACGCTTGTTCCAAATACGCTAAAGCTTTACCTGATAATATATTTCGCATTCCACCACCATCAATGCTGAGGATACATATTTTTCCTCGTTGATTCTTAATCGCCTGAATATTCTCCGTCGCTGATGTGGTTAAAACGCCGTCGTTTTTGTTATCTTCAACCGGAGACGGTAAATTTTTAGGTACCCAAAGCTTTTGATCATCGTAACCAAATAAGAATTTGCTTTCTAGAATAGAGAAAATCTCGTAACTTAGCTTATCTGTATCAATGCTCGGTTCTAATCGCATATCTGATATAACATTAGACTCCATTTCTTAACAAATCCAATTCAAAAAAGCTCCAAAATTTCAAAAGACCCTTTCTTGGAATCACCTAATTTCTCCCAAATCCTCAATACCCATCTGTTGATTTTTCCCAAAACAAACAGCTGAGAAACTTCAACCTTCAACCCATATAAGGTTATTTTAGCTACACAAGCGTTAAGACAGTTTTTTTCAATCTCCTTTTACCTCAGATATGCTTCAAAATTGATCTGAAAAGTGATTTTGGGGAAGGAATTTGATCAATTTATATATGTTTGTGGTGGGTATATCTCTTTTCCCTCACACTCTGTATGTATATGTATGTATCACACAAAGGGAGGAGTATATAGGGAAGAAGAAAGTTATGCAGAGAAGACAAAAAGGAGGAGGGGAGAGGAGGAGGCAACAAGTTGAGCACTTATTTGACAGTTTTGGTTATCTTAAAAGTTTTTGTTTTTTTAGAATTGGACATTTTTTTATCTCATTCAATATTGATAAAGGTGGGTTTTTTTTTTGTTAGAGTCACGTAAATGGAGACGATGAGGATAAAAAATTACCGTCCTCAAATCCTAGAAATCGTAACATTAAAACTAGGCATAATACATATATTGGCCCCTATACTTGGCTTCAAATTTTAACTTTGACCTCCAACTTTCATAATGCACAAATAGGCACTTTAACTATCCTACCTTTAAATAAATAAACACGCGATTTTTGGAGCCAAAAGCGTGAAATGCACACGCTGCCACGTGTATTAATGACCCACTCAATGGCTGCCAACTATTCAATGCATATGGGCCCGTTTTCCAGTCTATTTGACACCTTTTCAAATAATTTCTTTTT